TCTATGGCAAAGATAGTACCGTCACAGAACCTCCTCCCCTTCCACCTACCCCCAAAGTAGCAAAATTACTTTCTAAAAAGTTTCTCTCATTATAGTAGTTATTAACACACAACAGCCTAAAGAGAACCTTCTGATGGGCCCAGAAAGCTACACTTGCAGTAGTATCAATTCATTGAACTTTTGAAGAAGTTTATGCCTTGGTAGATCTTGCTAAAGTAAAGGACAGCTAAGTTACAATGAAATATTCAGCAACAATTTCCTGGGGCAGAATCTTCCTAAAAGTCTCTCTTATTGCCCATGCTGTTCATAAAAGTTGTTAGATTTCAGCATAGGCAATAACAGAAGTGGTGGGCAAGTGTACTGTCTTCTCTAGTGTATTCCTTACCAAGCTGCACACTGAAAATCCAAGCAAGCCATATATGAACACTTACATGTGCAATTGGTTCAGCCGTTTGTAAAAAAAATTTTAGAGTTGAAAGAAAACAGACTAGCTCCTTTTTAAACGTTATATATCTCTGGAACTTCAAATTAGCCCTTCAGCCCTTAGCATTTCTGCACTGAAAATGTAAATAATTCCTTCTGTCTGACATTCATTTAGGCAAACTGAACAATAAGATCTATTTAGCCCTTTAAAGCCTCAGTTCAGTAAGAAGCCTTTAAAGACAGCTCCTGATTGTCACGAACCCAAAGAAAGAAAAATTATATGAGTTCAGAAAGCATTCCAATTATTTTTTTTTTAACTGAATATTTATACTATTTTAAGAATCAGTAATTCTACACACAAACCCAGGTAGATCCTGAGATTGTCCTTAAAGCTGAAGATAACTGCTGTCTAAACTATAATGAAACAACATGCAGCATTCTCAGACTGTATGTATTTCAAAATTGTTGTGCTAGAAAAGACAATTCTCCAGTAAACACTGGAAGTTTTAATCCTACGGTCCTTAGCTAACTGGTATTGTTAAAGGCATAACAAAATCTTCTCTCTTTTCAAGGGTCTTACCTTTCAGGGCTGACTAAAGAAGTTAATTTTAAAAACTTGAAATATGTTTTTGATATGGTAAAGAGAGAGAGGAGAATGATACTTTCTGATTTTATCACATCTCTAGTGAACAAAATCACAAGCTTCATCTCCAGCCTCTCTTTTTCTCTTTTTGATTTTGATCTCCATGAAAAGCCAAGTACTTCACTTTTCTCTCAGTACTTCTCAAGGAATGTATTCCAGTGTGCCTAAATAACTGGGAAATACACATTATAATCCAGTTTCTGGGTAATTTAAGTCAATCAGATACCGTTTCATTTTTGCATTTCAAGTTCATTTTTGTAATGGTAAAAAATAGTGGTTTGTGATTAGTGTGTGTTAATTTGCTGATGGTAGCTCACTACTGCTCAAAAAGAGACTGACAACTCTGAACAACCTCAACAGATATTCCCAGAATACAGTGTTCTGTTCTGAGAAGCAGTTTTCTGAAAACACTGTCATCCTGCTCAACAGACCTTTTCCCTAAGCATGCCTGCAATCAAGTTTTCTTTTGTTTCACCTGCTAGCAGTTTTCATTTTTCTCCTGAAAGGAAAAAAAAAAACACCCTCTCTCAGAGAAAGAGGAGACTAACTCAGTTTTGTTATCTTCAGGAAATAGTCCTGTTTCTAATCAATAATAACTGTGCATTCACATTGCTAGACATTTACACAATTTAGCTATTGTCTAAAGAAAATCTAAAGACAAACAAGTTGAAGCGATACCTCGAGATCAATTTCTTAAGAAATATCTTTTACTAATGCTACAATGAAAGATGAAAGCAACTTCTATCAATACAAGAAACCTAGTCGAGTTTGAGAATACAGTAAATTTTCCAGATTTTCTAAGTATATGATTTTGAAGACTGAAAGTTTAGCAGAGAATCCATATAAGCTTCTAAATAAAATCAGGCCTTTGACACAGATTACTGTGGGATAACAAACTGCAATTAGCCATAATCCATGGAAACACCACAGTAAGTGGGAGAAAATTCCAGGTAATCTTTTGTCTTCAAAAAAAAAAAAAAGATAATTTTTTTTTTTAACCAAATTTCTTTCACCTTTACTGTGGGAGCTGCTGAGTCAGACTATACTTTCAGACAGTTATTATGGACCAGGTGACATTCACGTTTTAGAGGCCTCAGAATGTATTGTTCATTGCAGATAAATGCTTATTTAATTGCTGCCTGAAGAAGTTAAAAGCATTTAATATAAAAAAGTTATCTCTAATACAGAAAGTTAGCTTCTGACAAAACTTAAGGCTAACAGTACTCTGTTTCCTAGCTCAAAGCAAGAAACTGCTACAGTAAATTTGAACTTCTCATGTTTTAAACAAGTCTTGCAAGAAGTTTGTCATGTAAAAGCCTTTAAAGAATTTCACTGAAAATCCACCGCCGATGTAACCCCCTGTTCTATGGAAAACATGGCAAACAACTTCACTGGAGAACTTCCAGTTTTCCATCTGTTAAAAGGGTAGAAAGTTAAATCTTTCGTAGAATTTACATTTTCATGAGAGGTCACCTGGACGATATGTTTTGGTATCTCTCCCTTCCTGCTTTACTTCCTTCTGCTACAATCTCTTCGTGCTCAGGATCTTAAATTCTAGCCTGGAATACTGCTTGGGATTTCAGAAGAGAGGAGCTGTGTACATCCAGAGTTCATGTCAAAGGCTTCTGCAGTATAGCTTTTCAACTACAGCCACGTAGTGAACCCATCAGCTTTACACAGTCATAGGCAGTTCTCCTGAAGCAAATATTCTCCAAATGACAGAAAAGAAACAAAGGACTCCACTTAAAACTGTATCAGTATGTTACCTCGTCCTGCAAGTTCAAAGCAATGCCTGCAAAATCTGGTGATGTAGATTGGACTCTAATGCATTTACCTTGTTACTGTAGCTAACTTTACTTGAAATTACAAGAGTCAAAAAGAAACCAAAGTTATTTAGGAATCAAGTCTTAATGCCTTGAAAAAGGCATACAGTTGTACTTCCATCTATCTGAAAGCCTCACATGTTCACAAAAATGAAAGCAATAATGACATTAGCAAGAATAGGAAAGTACTTAGTTCAGGTGGTCTCAAACAACAGCATATTTAAAATAATTTACAAGGTACCTGCCTATTAAAGATATCTTTTTTTTTTCCTTTCTTAAAAAACTTTGTGAGGTATTGGAAACAAAGTGCAAAACCATTAACTGCTCATTTCCCCAAAATTTGCTACAACAGCAATACAACATAAACTAGATTGCAGGTAATCTCACTAAAAAGCATATTTTAAAATTGAAAATACTCCAGTGAAAAAAAAACATACTTAGAAAACCCCCATCTTTTACATATTCTAAATTTGTTCAGTTTGCTCAGTTTGTTACTCATGCTTTGCTGCTGTCATTTTTGAAAATTTAACTTTAGGAAATAAAATATTCTATCTTTTTTTGGTTTAAATGAGAGACAACAGAGATGCTGATTGAGAAGGATCATTGTAAAACAGGTATTTTAGCTATCAAAATCCATGTAGGACAATGCCGAATTACTCTGCAGAGCACATCGAGAAAACAAGAAACACGGTTGGCTGCAATTCCATGAGCTAAGAAGCTCAGAGAATTCGGTGGAGTCATACTGCTTAAAAACACAGTGACTACTGCAGCAGAGGGAATGTCTTAATATGCAGCTAACACAGACAACTATTACACTTATTTTGAGATACACAAGATAATCTGTTCCTGTTTAGGGGAAATTTGGGTGCTAAATTTAAGCTGATAAAATATGGGTGCCTAAAAAAGTATAAAAGTATAAACATTTCCCCCTACACAATTACATTTTTAGTAAATTCAATTCGGTTTTAACATCTTAAAAAAAGACAAACATTTTTGTGTTGTTGCGGAGGGCCCAGCAGCTTCCTGTGCAGCCCCCAGCCGAGTCGCAAAATGCATTACAAACCCTTCCAGGCCTCAGACGCGTGGACAAAACATGGAGCCCACTGTTTAACCTGTTCAGTAGAAATGTTTTTTACAAACTGTTTCTGCCAAACTTTTATTTATGTATAATAAGTCCTTTAAAAACAAACCAACCAACCAACAAAAACCCACCCAGAGTACACCCTGGGTGTTTGAAAATAGGCTTTTGTGTAAAGGGTTACCTAGAGTATATGCATAAATTCTGAAGCTACTGAAGATGAAAACCATAATGTCTTTAGAATTCAAAACAATCTTGTAGCTTTTTGCAACTCCCTTCCACTGCTTTTGTAAGACAATGAAGCCGAGTTTTATTCTGTCAATTTCTCTAAGTGTTTTAACACTTAAATCGAACAATTTTGCTCAAAACATAGTGTATTAAAGAACTCCAGTCTTGTGTATTAGCCTTCATCAAGAACAAGCTATTAAAGCTGCACCAGATGTTTTCAACCAGTGTTCTTTAACTGCATAGTTGAAACAGTAGAGAAAGACTGATTACATGGATCCTGAATATATGAAGTAATTAAGTTTTTCAATTGGATGAGCTTCGGTCCACACTCAGGTTTGATTTTAGTCCCAGTCACAAAGATAGGGATCTAAGATGAGCCAGCCATATTTCTGTACAAACTCCAGCTCTTGAAAAACCTCTACCATAATCAAAAAGACTTCAATGCTTATAGTAACTTTATAAAAGCACAAACACACATATAAGTACAAACATCTCAAAAGAAACAGAATGCTCAGTTGTTCATTTTAAGTGAATTTTGATTCCCCTTCCAAACATCTGGCTAAGACTGGGAGCATAACTTTCACAGGAGACTGTTTTAACAGAACATCAAGAATAACTCAGATGAAGGCCGTTTTCTCTGTTTAGTCTTCCCTTTGGGTATTAAAGTATGCTATAAATCCAGTCAATATATACACCCTTCCTTTAGAGAAACCTTTTGTCTGTCGTGTAACGTTTTATGTGCTAGTTTCAGTTGATCTCCTAGGCTGTTACTACATAATAAAGTATGTCACAGAGCCATAAGGAATGTGCAGTATAACACAGTCAACTGGGGCTGCCACTGATTCTGAAACAACGCAGGCCCAAATATTTGCATTTGTGAGCTGTAATATGTGTGTGTAGCACCAATTACATTGTCCTTTAAATGGTTACAATGATTAGTAGGAAAACGTCTCTGAACCGATCAACACTGGGTCATCCAGCACCAGACATTAAGTCCTACATGTCTCAGAGGAAAATATGAGTGCATGGTCATTTCTTTTCAAATGACCAGTGCCAGTCAGCCCGAAAGAGAGTACAGCCATGCACTACAACCAAAACTTAACACACGCTCCCAGACCATCTATGCCCAGTATGTAATCTTGCAATGCTTTCAAGCCAGCTGACACCAGCTTATAGGCAAAAATGGTTGAACCCAGATCCACAGAAAATTGTCTATTTTTTTCAGTCAGATTTTTTTCTTTTGCAACTGAGTCTCTTCAGTGTGACAATTCACTGCATCTTGGAATAAAAGAGAAAAAATTGTCACCGGTCAATACTGTCTTCACATCCTGGAACCTCGTTCTTGCAAAATCTGAAACAGACCAATAAAAAAAAAAAATCTATAAATGAAAATTCACTTGCTGTCATTCCTAAAGCATGGAGGTCAAAGAGAAACACAATGACTATTTCATACAACTGATAAAGTGTCAGGGACATTCATGAAGTCTGTGCTTTAAGGTTGAAAAAAGACAGATTGATACTTACAGTGTCTACTGTCAAACAATGAAAAGAGGTAAATCACTGCTAGAAATTGTGTATCATTATTAAAACCAAAGCTTAAAGGTTGGTAGATGTACCAAGTAAGACATTTCTCCTCATCCTGTTCTGAAGATACTTAAGTGCAATGTGATAAATGTACTCGAGTACTTCACTAGAAATTCCTAGTACCAGGAAGGGCTCTTGACTTCAAAAGCTGAAAGAACGCAAAGGCACGATCCCTGGACAACAGTGTAGCTGCCTTCAATGCAGAATTTTCTTCTCTGATGATTTCAGTGTGTTCTGATATTAAGACAAACATCTGATGCTAGTACTCAGTAGCACATTCTATCCCAGAGAACCCCCAAGATTTCACAGCACACTCAAACACTTCAGTCTTCATTCTTGTAGGATAATGGCTGGCTACCATTTAACACAGGACAGCAGTTTCATATACAGCTTTAAATTTTAAAAGTCTGGGTATTTTGTTTCTTTTCAATATTGTTAAAATGTTGACAATTTAACCTATCAGCCTCTATCAGCTGTCAAGCATAACAGGTTTTTCATAATGACAGTAGTCAACTAGGGTTTCACCTGCTTTGCACTATTTCACTGGATTTTTTAAGGACTGGAGTTCATAAAGAACCCATCACCATTTGTGTGCTTCAGGGACAGTTCAGAATTAGTTTAAAAAAAATTAAGAAGTAATTTTAAGAAATCACTTTATCATTTACTCACTGCCTGTCCTGAAGTACCTGGATCTTGCTTTGTGCTTTCCACGTCCTTTTTCATCTCAAATTCAGTATTAGTGTCAGTATTAGTGGTCAGTATCAGATGTCACCACAGCTACCTTGATAAATTTCCTAAGTACAGAAAGATGTTGCCCATGGGCCATCACATGCTGTAGGGTATATTTTTGACGCAAACATTGCTTATTTCATGAAGATAATTTATTATGTGTACTAAGCTAAAAGCATTTCACAGGAAAATGTAGGAAAGATACAAGTGAATTCTGTGAGGAAAAGCCAGGCCCTGAAAATTGCTCAGCAACTGCTAGTGTAACATATTCAAAAGGAATTAGACAAACTCACAGAAGACAGCGCCACCGATACCTACTCATGGTATCATAGTGTCACTGTAGCTTTCATATGATGGCCTAGATGCAGGCTTGAAGCCAAAATTCCTCCATTGAGGCTTACTGGAAGGTGGGAAAATATACCGGGAGTTAATTTTATAAAATGCTTCGACTTAAATTCTTTCCTCAAGTACTTGCTGTTGGTAACAGCTGAGAACAAACTGCTAGAGTAGATGTCCACGTAGCAGATAACAGTCTGACCCAGCAAATGTAGTCAGTCAGTCTCCAACAGAGACAGAAACATGGGTGAAACAAGCACCTGTGCACTTCAAAAAAAAAAAAAAAATAGTGGAGCTATTAATTTTGTGAATCTTTCCAATTTAAAGTAAAACATTGGAGTTTATTCTTTCCTAGGAGATAAAAAGTACTTCCAAGATTCAAGACTTAGAACTACTTCCTGTAGCCTCAGGAACACATACGATAAGATACAGCTAAGTCAGATCTGGATGCTAAACTTTGCACACTGTATTAAGCCAGTAAACCCATCATGAAGCAGAAAATTCTATCAGATGAGGCAATCTTTTAACACACTTTGCCTAGCAATTCTTCTGTAACCCCTAACTTTACCAAAGGGGAAGTGATTTCTGATCAGCAAGCTCTCATGAGATGTGTTCCACTGCCCTCTGTTCAGAAACTGTGTGAAAGAGGATCTTTTGTAGTCATGGTTAGTCACTTTGTCCAAAGAAGAAATTGAATTTCAGTTATCAGGAATTCTATGAAAATTGTACTCACTAAACACTGAAAGGATGACTGACTCCGTTCTGCAATTTGAAATTCCTCTTTTTTTTTTCCTGAAGAAGCCTTTAGTAAAACTATTTCTAAAAATTTCAGTGGCTTGCTGGGTAAAAATGCCGAAAGAATATGTCTCAGCACTAACAGAGGTCAATAAAACTCTAAAACAGTACTGACAGGTTTTGTCCCATACTGCTGATAGCTAGGATTGAGGAGTATGTCTGGAGCAGAACCAGGAACATGCTCTGCTAGCTAAACAGGTGACTTCACTGATAATACTCCTGTCTGCACACTTTAGATCATATAATCACTGAATAGTTTGGGTTGGAAGGGACTTTTAAAGATCATCCAGTCCAAACTCCCTGTCTTGGGCAGAGACACCTTCCACTAGATTAAATGCTCGAAATGATGCTCAAAGCTCCACCCAACCTGACCTTCAACACTTCCAGGGATGAAGCATCCACAATTTCTCTGGGCAACCTGTACCAGTGTCTCACCATGCTCACAGTGAAGGCTTTTGTCACTATATCCAATCTAAATCTACCATTCTTTCAGTTTAAAAACACTGCCTGTCCTGTCACTACAGGTCCTGGTAAAAAGTCTTTCTCCGTCTTTCCTGTAAGCCCCTTTTGAGTACAGGAAGGCCACAATAACATCTCCCCAGAGCCTTCTCTTCTCCAGGCAGGACAACCCCAACTCTCTCAGTCTTTCTTCATAGCAGAGGTGTTCCAGCCTTCGGACCCTGTGTCCCTCCTCAGGGCCCACTCTACCATATCCATGTCTTTCCTGTGCTGTCCTCCCAGAGCTGGACACAGTACTCCAGGTGGGGTCTCACAAGAGTGGGAATCGCTTCCCTTGGCCTACTGGCCATGTTACTTTTGATGCAGCCCCAAATAATTAGCTTTCTGGGCTGCAAGTGTTTGTTGATGGCTCATACCAAATGTTTCACCCACCAGTATCCCCAAGTCCTCCTCTGCAGCACTGCTCTCAATCCATTCATCACCCAGTCTGTACTGGTACTGGGGACTGTCCTGACCCTGCTGTAGACCTGCTGTATTCAGGATTTTCTCTCTTTTCTTATTTCTGTTCTGTTTTTCCTCCAGCTGCACCAGATCCAAAGTTGACTTATAAACTTTAAACAATGCTCAATGAACTCTAATATCATATGGGCCTGAGTGTTACTGCTTCTTAGGGAATCAGAATGTGGAAACAATTTCCTCCCACTCAAATCTAATGCAGGTAGAATAACATTTTAAGAACTGTTCATCTCTTAGGCAGCTTAAGAATCTTGCATTCAATTCCACCACAGTGCCAGTTAAATTCTTTCCAACAAAGCTTCAGATTTGACCAATTCCTTGGAGCCACTCCCACAGACTTGGCAAAAGACCTTATTCTACCTGAGCAGTAGTTTCTGTTAGCACCAGTTAAGAAAGTAATGCAGGTTCTTTTTCAGCCATGTGGAAGGGAATCAACACTTCAGAGATAAGTATGAGGCTACTTTGCAGCTAAAAAAAAGATCAGGTGTACAGGTGACAAGCTGGAGTTCAATCTCATGCAGTGGTAAATAACTCCATTTCATACAGGCTGAAGTGACTACCCACACACTGTATCACCAAACAGCCAATTATAAGAAATTGGATAGCAGAATAAGTAGGAGCAGTGCTTGCGGACATGTTAGGAAAAGGCTACAGAAGTTGTTCTTTCTCATGCAAATTTTATGTTCTTCCACTTGTGACTTTTGAAACACCTTGATCTTCAGTAAGATGTCACACTGCAACGGAAAGGACCTGATCCCTCCTCGGAAAGAGTTGTCTTCTGTGATATATCTAACTGCAGCACCAAGATCAAACTATTTACTTCTCTTTGCCAGATCTTGATTCAAAAATTACTAGTTTCACAATTATCAGATAAGATCACGTGTTGACTATGTTGTACTTCAGTCATGTTTACTAAGTTATTGCCAATTACTGGTAATTTATTAAATTTACCAAAAAGGTATACTGTAAGTTTGTATCTGATGCCTCTACACATAAAAAAAACATTTGACAGAAAAGCTGGTGCATGGAAAATAAAAATGAAAAGCAATTCTGCCCCTCAATCTACATGAAGTTTCCTCTCAGCAAAGCTTTAAAGGAGCCAATCACAATACAGCTTACAACAGCAATGCTAACTATTCTGTCCAAGCAGCAATATCCAGAACAGGAATTCTACCTTTGCTCACCATGCCACAACTATAGTCACAAACACACACACCACCAGGACTAGCCAAAGGACAGCACTAGTTGGGGTAGGAACTGGATGGGGCAGAAAAGCATTTGGGTAAAATCCTAGGGCAACTAGTGCTCACCATGACATTTACACTTAATCTGAGTCATTCATATCGTAATCCGTTTCTTCATCCTCACTCTGAATGGCATGCAGCATGCAGCAAGCACAGAGAAAGGAAGGGAAAAGAAGAGATCGCGAGTGAGTTAGAGCTGCAACAAAGTACAGTCCACTTACACTTGAAGAATCTGGGAATGACATTTATTTACTTTTATTTGGGACCCCAGTCTTCGTAACAAAGTATGACAACAGACCATTTCAAGGAGGAACATTACAGATTTAATGAACATTTCCTTTTTCAAGTGTCCTAAAGTCAGCAGATAGAAGCCAACAGTGTCATGCAACATAACAACAGGGACCATAAGTATAGAGAAAATTTAAAACTGTAAAGCCATTACCTTAACTCCATGTACTCTGCCACAGATGGGAATGGATAGTACTTAAAAATATAACTTTGGATGCAGACATTACGAACAAGCGTTGGTCATCTGTCCCAAGAGTGACAGCTCAATAAAGTGGTATGAAAGAGAAGAATGCTCATGGGAATACAGGGGGGTTTTACCTTTCAGTAGTCCCATGGCTACCAGTGAAAGCCACTGGAACTATTTTGTCCCAAATGCTGTTAATCTCCTTTTCTTAGATGTATTACAAGGTTACACAGAAGTCGGCTGCTAGATTACTATGCAAAGTGCTTTCCAGAAAAAGAAAACACAAGAAAAAAAAGTCTCTAAGAAGAAATGAAGGAACAAAGGTGAAGCTTGATTAGATGGGCTATCAGAAAATGCTTTTTCCTATTCTGGAAGTCCAGTACTATTAATTAAAGCTGAAGTGCTTGTTAATGAAAATGACATACTCGCAGTTTCTTGTTTTCTCTAACCCAACCTGCTGTAAAAATAATGGGAAGACTTTTTCATGGCTTCTAAAGGTCATGAACACATGAACACATCATTCTTTATATATCACTGGACACTAGAATCTCAGTCATATGAAATTTATGAAGACCCAATCAGACACTAATGAACAGATTGCAGGCTACAGGATTAACAATGGCTAAGAGAGAACTATTGAGACAACAGCTCCCAAGTTCTAGTCAAGATTCCTGACCACAGCTCTGAGAAACCTCTCAACCAAAACCGATTTTTTTTTCCAGGCACAACATACACTTGTTAAAAATAAAAAAAACACCTGACCTATTAGAAACACAATATATTAAAAAATTATTCTTCAAGTATTGCCATTAATTCCTAGCAACAGCTGAACTCTTCCAAGACAAAAGGCGTGAATATTTGTATCTCCAACCTAAATTAACAGTAATTCCTATTCATCACCCTGGCCAAATAATGCTCTGCTTTCTTCTCTGAAACAATGATGAAGAAGCACTTCAACGGAGAAGTCTAAGATTTAACTCTTCTCAGAGCTACAGATTTCACAAAGTTGTACCACACTCTGAACTAGCTTCTGTATTTAGGGTTTAATAGTTTAATTTGATCCATATTTAATTTTGCGTTAAGAATGCAATGTAAATGCTGACAACTTCTGAAGTTCCCTGGAGATGCACTACCATTCTTATGAAGATGTGTGTTAGTTTTTAGTATTCCATGTTTTATTTCAGGTACATATCTCAGCCCTAAATTATTACCACATGCCTCTTTCATTTGTCAACTTTTAAAGTTTTCCTGAAACATCCTAGCAAAAGCAGAACTTGATTTTGGAAGGAGGGAGCTGTGGGTTACCCGAGTTCACTGTTCACACCCTTGACTATATTAATCTCTTACAACTCTTTGGAAGTTTTATATCACCAGTGACAAAAGAGTATAAATTAATCATTTCACTAAGAATCCAACACAAACCTTGGAGTATTTTTATAGTGCAATTTACAAAAATGTCTCCACAAGTGTAGCTGCATAACCAAGTTACAAGGCACAGAAAGTGCTCAAGTTTTATCTGAGGCCCCAGTGCCAAGACCCAAATAAATTTTTAGCATTAATTCAAAATTAATTTCATTGAAGACGATTCTTGAAAAAGCAGCCTTTGATGTTTTACCAATTGTTTCCCATCTACATACACTAAATGAAAAGCTTTTAAGCCAACTACAGAATTATCCAGTTTGTCTGTAGCTATCTCATACAAAGCAACAATACAATGATAAAAACTGTTTAATATGCATGGACAAGAATACACCTACATACAAAACTGGTCTGTCTTATTACTATTCAGCTGTATTTTTACATTTTCCCTTGTACAAACTCTGAAAGACAACTGAATAAAATGCTGAGATATTTTGCCTGTTACAATCTTTTGTAAAGCTGGCTACAGAAAGAAAGAACTATGTAGAAACCTAAAAATATTAAGCTAACAAATACCTTCATCTTATAACATATTGCACGACTGTTTTTTTCAGAGATGGCATATCAACAATCTCCATTCTTGACCACAAGATTTCTTCAGTTGAACTCAAGCAAGAAAAACCCTTTTCAGCTGAAACAGTGGCAGAATAAGGAAGCGATGTGCAATAAACAAAAGCTAGATTCTCAACTGTGAACAGCAAATGTCTGCCCATACTCAAAAAAAACAAAAGGACAGCTATCAGGAAGAGTACAAGAGTACTGCATTTAAAAAACCCATTTGATATAACAAATGCATGCTGTCTGTACCATTTACAGTCTCTCCTCTAATGGACAAGGCAATTAAATAATGGTCCAGAACAGAGATAGGCCTAGCATGAATTAATGAAGCCCACCCAATCTGACACTATGTCTTTAGTCCAATGTCTCGTAACTTACCTTTGCCTTTTCACTGGGTTCACTGGTTGTGCCATAGGGAGTGTTATGCAATTCCTTTGAGACAACACACAGAAATTCAGCCTGATCCTCATTGCCATAGTTATAGGAAGAACCAATACTGACCAGCTGAAACATGAAGGAAAAAAAAAGTCAATTGCATTTCCACACAAAACGATTTCCATACATTCTCATCATCAGTACAAACAGCCCTCACTCTTCAGACTGTTGGCTGTGCCTGAAGCATGATTCTCCACTTCACTGCAAATACGTTTTGATGTTGACAAATACACTGACACTCTGATGATAAGATAAACATAGCTTTTACTTTTAAACATTTACAGAATTAATGATTTACGGTTATGATTATACTGTGAAAGAAAAGGCTACAGAGGAAGCCCAGTGGAGAAGTAACCTGTTCCCTGTTTCTGTTACTTACTAAAAAGCTTCCTGTCCTCCAAAGTTAATTTTTAAAAAGTTTGTATGTGGTTTCTTAATGTGGCATGATTTAACATGTAAATAGCTGCATGCAGGAAGCACTTTAGCCTTAAGGGATACCCACCACTTCATTTACCAAAGAAAGGTACTACTATTAAAACAAACTTTGAGTGGACAAAGACAAATTTTGCATTTGATTGGAAAACAGCAAGACACAGCATGGTGGGACACCAGAATTTAACGTCTGAAGTTCATATGTACTGCTACAAGAAGTTCATTAAGGAAGCACTACAAGCAGAAGCCATGTATAATGAAATGTGACATACTTACAAGCTTCTACAGGTCTTGATATTGAATGATAAATGACAATTTACTGAGAAAAAAGGATATACTCAACATCAGTACTACCTCGTATGCAGCACGTTTATTGAAAGGCAGCAATTTCATGTAACTTGTCTTAACTTACACACAGCACACTTACCTAATGCTAGAAGCTTTAGAGAACCTGCCTTTTCAAGGCATAATCAATTCAGATGTAGCTTGTTCATTTATTTAAAAGCTTTATTTCAAAAGCATGACAAGATTATGTATGGTGCTATGACTACTGACACAGATCAAAGTACTAAAAATCAACGTTGTTGCACAGATATACTGTATCAAAATGTCATTACCAAAAGTATATTAAATTTACCTACTGAATTGCCACACATGTCACAAGGCTGTCCTGTTCCCCAGTATCTATTATATCATTAAAGTGCCCTGGTAATGGCCCCACAGAAAAGGTGTAACTTGGTTTTTAGGGCAACAGCACTTGAAAGGCTGTGTTAGCTATCTGAAAACAAAGTGTGTAGTGCCACTAGTCTAGGAGACCACCAATGCCTTGATAAAGCAGGTAAGATGCACAAGATGAAATCTTGGTCCAGAATCTGTACTTGAGGGCTAAGATTATTCCCCCAGTAAAAGTGGACAGTAGACCAAGATTAAAAGCAGCTTCCATATAGTGGTGTCAGAAGAACATAAATCCTCATTTACTTTTAAGGAGAGGGAGGAGAGAGATGCTCAGATGTTCTAGGATTGTGGTAAGACAGCCAAACAGGCACCTCCACAGACAGAGCCAATATCTACAAAGACCGTCAGGCAGTATGTTTGCACAATGAACCAACTCGATGCCAGGCCTAGGCAATGCAAAAATTTTTGGATCCTGATGGTAATACAGCGTACAAGGCTCAGCCTCCAATGAATAAGAAGCAATCAAAATTCAGTATTATCAAACTACCTACTTCAACTACACTCCCTGTTTGTGATCACCAGAAACCTTTCCCTTCCTCCTCTACTCCTAATATCACTCTAGTTCTGCAGAATACATACATAGTCAGTAATGAACACAGGCTGATCGAAAGTGAATGTGAGAAAGACATTTCTTCCACTAGAACCATGTAATGAAGTTACAAAACCCCAGGGATTTTTGGAAGCACAATACATCCTCACCAGAATACAAAGGCACCATTTATCTTGAGATGTTACATCAGCTAATCTTTCACAATGGATACTCTTCAGTCTGTACCATAATATATTTGTAAAATATAAAATCACAGTACTTAAGTACTTCAGTACTTCCAGCACTTATAGGGGACCTACAGGAAGGATGAGTAGGAACTCTGTATCAGTGAGTGTAGTGACAGGATGAGAGGTAACAGTTTCAAACTGAAAGAGAGGAGGCTTATATTAGCTAGTAGGAAGAAATTATTAACTGTGAGGGTGGTGAAAAACTGGAACAGGTTGCACAGAGAAGTTATGGATGTCCCCTCCCTGGAAGTGTTCAAGGCTGGGTTGGATGGGGCTTTGAATAACCTGGTCTAGTGAGAGGTGTCCCTGCCCAAGGCAGCGGGGTTGGAACGAGATGATCTTTATGGTCCCTTCCAACCTAAACCATTCTATGATTCTGTGAAAACCAATACAGTAACTAATTACTTCGTTGCAGAAAATGGACTAAGAAAGTTGACTGAAAAGCTGGAAAATAAGCCCAGACTTACTTCATATCTAGATATGATTTGTTGTTTCTCTTCCCTATCAGCGAAAAATATCATGCACAAATTTTCAGAAGAAAAAAAAGAAGTTACGTTTGCTCTAAGCCTGTTCAAGTGGTATAAAGTTTATCCTACATATTATATAGCATTTACAAACCATATCGTACAACCATCTTCAACAGTATTTTAAATTTTTAATTTTTTAAAATATTTTAAAATTTTAGTATTTCTAGCCAGTTAGAGGCTAGAAAACATTTTAAAAGCTGGATACATGTTTAAAGCCACACATAATTCACCTTTCTGAAGAGAAATTTGAAGAATCAAATTCAAGCATATGACCTGATTTAGTATACAGTCAATTTTTCCTCTTGCAAAATGCCAAGAACTTGATATCAGATAAGCTATGATAACTACCAGAAGGAAAAATACTTCTTTAGACATTGACACTCAAAAGAAATAAACAACCTCTCTGAAAGCAGACGGGATACGAGACCCAAATATTAGCCAAATCACCAGTCCTGGTTCAATAAGGCGGATATATTCTCAGTTGATAGCTACTTGCATTGCCCACTAATGCTTCATAATCCAAACAAATTGACCTTTTGCACATAATTATTTTTAGGTGACATGGCAGACCTATTAGCTAGTTGCACAAGACTATTGATTTGGTTGACTTCAGAACAACTGGGTAACTTTTTGCCATTATTAATCAGCTGGTGCATTTCAAGATAAAGTCACTTTTGCAACGTTAAACACAAGTTCTTCAAATCTCCAACATGTAATACTCTTGTAAACAGTTCCACACGTGTGCAACTAAGAATGTATTATTTGCATAGTATCAACAGCATGCTAGAAACTTCACTGTGGCTTTTTGAGATGCATCAGTAGTAATAACTGGAATTGTTATACTCCCTTACCTTGTGTCCATCTGTCCCTGCCCTCCACACACCCCCTCCCTAGCCACCCTTCATCCCCCACACCCCTCCTCCCAAATAAAAAGAACCCACAACTAATCTGAGGTCTGCAAAACATGTTACAATGCATAGGAAAATTATTTCAGATTATCCAGCCTGCTGTTTCTCAGACTTTCTGAAAGGACAAACTTTTTGGGTTGTATGGCTTAAACAGTACGGAGAGTTTTAATGACCAAGAGCAGACCAAGGAAGAAAACAAAATGCATTATTTTGAAATGGAATTTCACAGATTTGTACAATTGTATATACATACGTATCATGCATGTATGTATTTTTCCTCATTGTTTTTTCCCTTCCAGGACTTGTTTCCTTACACGCCACGCTAAACCAGTGCAATCCTGCTTGAGCACCCCTGTAAGCCTCAGGAGGGTCAGAACTGAGCACAGGAAAATGCCAATATCACTTATCAGAGAAAATGAGATAATCTTCTATTCACTGTTTGTATGGAATAAGGGTGCTGACACTAGCACAGCTGCAGGAATGGAAAGCATTATTATTATTAGTTAACCAACAAATATATAGTTATTTGCATTATATTGCTTGATGTACAAATACAGGTCGGGATTTTCCTGAAAAAGCAAATAAATAACAACAGGGAAGTTCCTATCTCACAAAGCCATAACTTTTAATTAAGGCAAAAGATGATAATCAGAAAGGGCAAAGTTAAAAAACCCAACAGTTTGGCGTAAGGCAAGATGGGCAGAGATTACCTGATGCCTAGCCATAGTCAGGCTTGTTTTCAAAGAGGAAAGATTTCAGAGTTCTTTCAGGGGCAATTATTAAGTAACTTCCTGAAGAAATTTTCCTAAGTCTTCAGCTCTACAAGAGGATAAGTGTCTTTCCAAAAATTTAAGAAAAACATATGATAAAAGACGCATAGCTGAGAGAACAGCTCAAATGCTTCCTTCATCAAGTTACTCAATGGCCTCAAAATATGTGAATCGCTTCCTATCTTAAATCAATGACTATACACCTAAAAATATCCCCATGCATAGGCAAAATGGTTGGTGCATCACCTTTATGAACTTATTTTTGAAGTGAACAGATTGCATACCTAAGTGAATTGAGACAGATCTCAAAACCAGCCACATTTCAATAACTTGCCTATATAGATTTGCTAAATTGTTTTAACAATTTTGATTCAGAATCTATACGGTACATTCACGACAAATTAGCAACAGTATTATCATCATGATAACCATTCCAGCTTGCACAAACAGCATCCTTGTCTTTCTCTGCTTCCCTCTGGAGTTACTCATACTAAATAACTCTTCTATTTAATGACTACCAACTTCCTTCTCTTTCTGTGATGGTCTGATTCTCAAAACGGAGTAAATTTCATAACAATTATTACCAAATTCTGTTTTAAATATTCTTATATTTTGAGTATCACTGATTCTATTTCAGATGAGGTGAACTCCTTGAACACTAGAAAGCTTGTCTTTTTTAATTATACTAATAGTTGATAGAATAAAAGAAATACTTCCTCTCTTTTTTTTCTTTACAGAATCAAGTTGTATGAATGTAAGAATGGCTTCTATGCCTTTTAGAGTCATACTGTGTTCATGCTACTGCCTTCTCAAAGGATTTGCAGAAGACTATAAAGATGTGTACACATCAGCCATTAAACTCAGCACCGATGATCAACACTAGGACCACAAGTAAATTTATTTCAGGTCTCTTAATGCTCTTAAGCATTTGTTAGATTTCAAATCTAGGACAAAGGAAAATTCATTGCCTTCTAAATATAGATTTTAGATTTTTAAAATTTTACACCTGCCTTCATTTCTTCATTGCTTCCCTCACGTCCCATTGCACTATGTTGAATTTTACTCTGAGCTATCTAGGACATGAACACATGCTGCCTGTGCCCTGCACCTCCTTACCAACAGGCCACATTTCCTACCCAGTTCCAGGAAGTTTGCAAACCCAGTGCATCAATTCCACATTCCAAATGTAAACTATATAACTGCAACGAACAGATAAGGCTTGGTACATTGAAAGCAAATTCCAAAATACAGCTAGGCAACAGTGCAGGTGTAAAATGTAAAACTGTATGGCTAAGTGTCCATGTAAACTCATATTCAAGGTTCTGTCAAGTCACTTTGCTGTCATGTTATCTTCATGATGTTATTCTTTTCTTTCAGACTGAATAACCATTTATATGGCAAGGAAAAGAACAAGTAAGTAGTTTGAGTATTCTATTGATGAGAAATACTACAGAACACCGGGTTCCCAAATCAATTCAGGTAAGACACTTCAAAATGGAGTACAGCTATGTAAAGAACTGGAAACTGCCTCCAATGTTACCGGTTAGCAAAAAATCCCTCCCAAACTCTTCAACACTGGGAAGTAACACAGTAATTAAAAAAGCAGTGACTTTTGAGGGCAAAGGGGGCAGGAAGCATGAGACAGCCTAAAGTCAGTGACTTAAGCTTCACTATGATTCTTCAACTAGGTTTTAAGAAAATTTCCCAATGAGAAAAAAAAAAAACCCAAACCAAAACACCACCAACAAAAGAAAAATAAACAAACCAGGATGTTCTTTCCACTTGAGACAAGACTTAAAACTGCTGGGTTTATTCTCCCCTCACTTTTCCATATTTTATTTCTGAAAAATTCTGTTATTCATTGTTTCAGTTTCAATATATTCCATCCACCTAAACAACAGTTAAATTCTGAGTTACCAGAAATAAAAGGCTGGAACTCAGAACTTAACTGGCCTATTAGGTGGATGAAACACACTCGAACTGTAACAATCATTAACACAGAAATGTCCCTTTCTAAACCAAATGAACTCAAAGCTTTATTTACAAGGCTCCTAATGTTTAAATTGTACCACTTTTACTTAACAAGTATGGATCAAAGGCTGTTAACTTTGGAGGAAGATTTCAGGAACAGAAATTATCTGTTGAGAAGGTAAGAGGTATTCTTAAGAAAAACAAGCTAAATAACTACAGGGGTTGTGTTTGGTTGTGGGTTTTTGTTGTTGTTATTTTTACAATATGGACATTCATAATGTATAATGGAATACTGTGAATATAAATAAAAGCCAGTCACAAATACACACAAATTACTATGTGCTGTACATTCAGGAATAAAGTGGAATGATTTGAAAGCAGCAGAAACGCAAGGAGGTCAAGCATATCAGTGTGAGGGCAAAAAGAATGGTGTGACACACCTCACTGCAGCATTTCTGGAAGCATCTCTCTTCCCCTTTCACTTCCCGTGACACTATCAGCAGATACTCTGACTGCTGGGCCCGGCCACAGCTGTACTGGGAATCTATACTGACAAGCTGAAATAACCAATCAAAGCAAAACACAGAAAGAAACCTTGTAAAGCTGAAGCACATACCATTATCCAAATAGTACAAATAACAGATGAGCTCAAACATTCAGGTGACATTTACCTGGCACTAGAATAGGTTGCTATCAAGCTACAAGTTTCGTTTCAAAATACTAAATATTTATGGAGGCAGTTGCAAAAGCCCTTTGCAATTTCAAGGGAAGTTAAGAGTTACTGACAGTAAGTCAGAAAATTACCCATATCAATGTGGTGTAGCCAACCACTCTGAAAAACACAAACAGAAGTTTTGTGCATTATAAAAGTAAGCATTGTTTTCCTGTGATACTTGTCAAGTTCAGAAGGTAACATGGATATAGGACTGGAAGGTGTTATGTAGAGCAGTATACCGAGCCCAGGTATGAAAGAGATTCATCTTCTTCCAGATATTGATAAACAGAATACAGCTAAGGTAACATACCAAGTCAACTAGAGGAAAAAAAAGTCGAGTGGTCTAAATTGGTTTTAGAAGGGGTAATTTACAGAAGATCCAAGAAAATAACTGGAGTGTAAAAAATTGTCTGTCTTGTTCCCATGAAAATCAGTACCAAGAACTCTGTTCACACTTATAATCTAATGATCATCTAATAATTCAGAGGTTCAGAACAACCTCAGCTAAATTTCTCAACTTGTTATTACAAAAACTATTCTATCTTAGCAATCCATGGCAACTCCTACACTAACATTTAAATTAAAGCATAGCCCATCGGTGCACTTGAGAAAGATTAGAGCATTAAATTAAGTGTCAATAACTAGAGAAGAACTGTTTATTCCGAGTAAACTGGAGATTACTACTGATGAGAAGGCTCGTGAACAGTAAATTTATTATCCCGCTATTGATATATGCATAATTTTGAAGGCAGCAGCTAAATAGCTTCCTCCTCATACAGTGAACACGTTTAAGACAGCATTATGCTGACAGACTCAGGTTACATTAATCATTAAAATTTACATGGCTGACACACCACTGCTGTCTAAAGCCTTTGTATGTGGCAATTTTGTAGAGCCCGCAGTTTCTCATTATGTAATATTGCCAAAACACTGTTTTTTTCTGATTGTGTGAAGAGCTATTTGAAGCTAAAATTGAATCTAAAAATCACTTATAAAATAACCCATTGAAATCAGAAAACCTAGGCAGCAAAACTATTGGCAGCAGTTCTTGGACTGGGATATAACTGCAGTATTCTAGCAGTGCTTCCATCGTGTTCTTTGGAAAAGTGCAACAATACATCCGTGCAAGTGCACCAGCAGTTTAACACCTTCCACTCCTATTTAATCACCACATCCAACTGTATTTTACAAGAAATTTTTGAAATGTCCAGGGGAAAGAAATATTTTTTAACAAAACCACTTAAACACGCTATGCGGGGCACAGAGGACAAAGACTCTCAATGCACAGTAATATTACTCCTCTGAAAAAGTTGAATTCTAGCCCAGATCATTAAGCGTGGTAGGTGCAACCCCAAAATCTGCTTCTGAAGGGAGCATGCTGCTGAGCAACACAGGTCTAGAAAAGATAAAAAAATACAGAAGTGCTACTGTGTTCTCCAAACTTAACAATAAAACTGCTTAGATTACACAGCAAATTCTAATCATATTTCAGGTGAATGATGTCTGCTAAAAGCAGGTCTGCAATAAAAACAAAGGAGAGACCGGCCTAGTCTGAGGTAATGAGAAGCTGTTATGAGACCATACAGCTTTTCTGTTTGTCTCCTTCAAACGACATGTCCAAGAGAGAGCAACATGAGAGAGGGAGGAAGTAGGGAGAAAGCGGGATGAAATGAGGACATAACGTTCAAGAAAGTCACTGGAATTTTCCAGTTCTAAAAGAGAGTCTAAATTCTAAAAGATGTTATAAATACTCTTTCAGCAGTTGCACTGGCAAAGCAGTATTACTCCCAAAAGAAATATCCCCAAAGAACACAAGGCTTTAGGACAGGTAAAAGCCAGAATACTATTGGATCTGTTAAAAAGTAAAGAGTCTCTATTTGTAATGAAATATAGTTTCTCATGACAAAAAGTAATGTCAAAGAAGCTTTGTCAATGCACTGGTCAAAAAAAACCTCACAAGTATTAAGCAAGAGGGTTTTTTTTCAGGGGCTTAAACAACATTCAGCATCTGGCATACCAAAGAGACCTAGTAATACTTGAGCTGGAAAACTGAATCACAAGAAGCCATCTCTGTGCTGATTTAGTTTATTTGATCATGGCTGTCTCCACGACACCAGCATCGTACATATTTCAAATATAATGTGCTGTTTTACCATTCTGTGCTGTACTTTTTAAAAAAATGTTGCTTTGTTGTGTTATTAAAGTGAGACCACAAGGTAAGAGACTTGTGCCTATTCCAATCTCTCCTACAGTTGGGACCAGACACTGAAAAAGGTGCTGGTGGCTGAGCACTTGTGTTTCACTCCAGACTTAATAGGTTCATTGCTCCAATGCAGTTTAAATATTCTGGTAGGTTAGGAACATGAAGGATGAAAAAAACATGTAGATAGTTTCTTATTTGCAGAGATTGGCAAAGATAACAGAAAGTTCTTCTTGAAGTTGTACAATGTATTGTATGTACACACAAAGCTACTTTTATGACGTGCAAATAACAAAAAGATTCATGTAGCTCACACCTATCCCAGCTTCACACCCACACTGGTTAAGTGCACCTTCCTGTGTGTATCAGTGCTTTATCTGAAGAACCATTGTTTGGGCCTGACAAACATTTATGTCCCAAGCTCATCATTTTACCCAGAGCTCTTTATATCTGACCTACCATTTGTATAAACTTGTATTAGTTAATTTTGGTTTATTCACCCTTCAAATGCTTGTGTGTAGACACCAAAGAATTAAATTTCAAACATGATGTAGATGATTTTATAGAAAGTTAGCATAATTTACTTCCTATAAAGTTACAGACTTTTGTTCTCTCACAAATAATAATACAAATACCATATTTTAAATATACTGTGTACCTTTATCCAATTTCTGAAGATGACCGAACTTAAAAAGATGAAAAGAATTGACTCTGTACTCCTCTTTCATAAAACTGAATTTTTAGAAGACTTTTTAATTGCATCCAGTATGGTTTTTTTTACCTGTTCAAATTTCCAGCCATCAGACATTGTGGAAACCATTTGAGTAAGTTCCTCTTCCTGGCACTGCAGCACTCTGTACACATGTTTGACTGGCACCTTCAAGAAGAAACATAAGATGCTCAGTATAGCATGGAATTCACTAGGTTTGTGGCTTACCTAAAGATGCCCTTATTCTATAGAAACGGTAAGCAATACTACCTCAAACACCTTGCTTGGGTTTTTTTTCTTTTTTTAAAGAAATCTTATCTGTTCCTAATCACCTCACAGAGGACTCAATCCTTTGTGAATGTTTCAGGGACTAAAGTGCTACCTAACAGCTGTAATCAAATAATCTTAAAACACACCTATCGTTCCATGTGATAGCAAATGGCATCATTCAGAACCAAGGCTGAGGTTCTGCAGAGGCCTACCTAACTTTTAAGAACGTCTGACCACATTAAGAAATGTCTTTATTTCCCTGTCAAAGTTTCCTATCCAAAGCAATGAATAACTAGGACCATTTCAGCTGAAACCCTTTAGAAAATGCTACTGAAGCAAGTCTTGCTATTCCACGATCCAGCTTCAAAAGAAATTTGGCAAACTGAGTTTGTAATATCTCTCTGAAGACTACTCATTTGTCAGGGAAAGCCAGAGCAGCAGAGTTAAAGAACAAGCCTGAATACTTCCTTAACATTTTTTCTATCATATTCACTGTAATGAAGGAATATACATGACTTGCTAAGAGAACAAGAGTATTCTCAACTACAGAGCACTACAAATAAAGAAACTAACTTTTCCACAAAAATGTATAACAGGAGCTAAGCAGCATGTGTATGTATCCTGCATAAATATACTTCATAAACAGCAGTTATGCGGTTGTTAGGAAACCTTATCATATTCAGAGTACTAAAATGTAGATAAGAAAAATATCTACTCTACAAAAGCTGTTTTCTAAAATAGCTATTTCCAGAAATGATATGACAAATTCTACTATTACCAGTTATATTTTTTAACAGTTCTTTACAAAGTTTCCAGGTTTTGAACATGAACTGGAACCATGCGCCTGTGTCCTTTGTAAGCAGATTGACAGGTACTGGTGATTAAGAATATTAATCTTTGGATATTAATGGTTCAAGCTCAGCCAGTTATGAAGGCACCCATTCAGTATCTTTCTGGGAAAAATGAGCAATTAAGGAAAAAAGTGGAACCTACCCACTACTTGCTATAGAACAAATAATCAAAGCCACACTAGAAATCAGCCTCACCTGTGAGATTTTGCTGTCTCTTTCTCTTATTTTGTCTTTTACCAGTTTTATTAGTGATGTGATATTGTAGAATTCAGCCTCTTCCAGTACACCTAGTATAAGAACATTTTTTGGAGAGAGAGCATAACCAATGATTCCAAGCTAAAACCATCAACCAGTTCCTAAGATTATCTTCTCTAAAATTACAGAAAATTATTTATTTCGCCACAGGAAAAGTTCATCTATCAGCCTAATGGTTCTGGCTTCCTTCAGGCACATGTAGGTCAAAGTTCAGCTCATTCTGAAAAACTATTCTAAAAAAAGCCCAATGAAAACTGAGGCCCCTTCACACATAGAATGAGGCAGGAAACAAAAAGGAAGACAAATGCCATTCCATAGCAGACTGATGGACCACCATAGCCCAGGCCCCACCTCATGCTGGAATAGGAAAGAGAAATTCAAACAGTCCTACTAAAAAGCTCTAAAAGCTCTGCAGCTGTTTGCGTGGAGAAAATTTTTCTGCCTGTCATGAGATCTTAGACTTTGAAACAGAAGTTTAAAGATACATACTACAGACTGCTCCCACTCACACGTTCAAGACATACCTGTTCTCCACACATACTACGTGTTTACCAGTGCCCACGGAAATTCCATTTCACATTATTTCCTGCTAATATTGGTAGACTTTGTTCTCTTTCACTGATTTCTTCAATACCTTATTGCTACAACTTCAGTACTACATGCTTTAAAACAGTCATCCTCCATTAGGGTAAGACTGATATGAATTGAGGAGAGAGAGAAGGTGGGGTCAGAATTCACTCTTCAAGATTAAAGTCCACACATCTGAATATCCCAAAACTTCACTCTTAGTTTGCTTTACATCTCCTAAAGATTGTTTCACAGCTAGTACTCTTCTGCTTGAAGAGTACTAAACCCAAGTATTTTATACAGTCATAAAGATAATATGATAAAAAGCACTTATTTTTAACTAGGGACAGGGGGTGTGAAATCAGGAATCATATTCAAAACATTGAAATAACAGCATATATTGTAACTGCACAATACCTGTCAGCTTTGCTTGAAACACTGAAATGCTACACTGATTAAGATTTACCATCTACTTGGAAATTACTTTTGATGGCTCAAAAGCTGTGAAAATAATAAGCAAGTGACAAGAAAGCAAGTGATTGAGTAACATCTTACCTTCCTCAGCAAGGTCCTTGTTAATAACCAGTTTCCCATGTCTGAGATAGTTCAGCACTGGCCCAAAGTAGGTCGGGTCTCTGTCTATTAAATAGGCACCTGTTTCATCCTAGATTAGAAAACAAAAACAAAACCAACAAAAAACAACAAACCCCACAAAACAAACAAACAAACAAGGTAAAGAAAAAAAAAGTTTGAATGTCCCAGCAGGAATTGCAAGCTCATGTTCAGCTTGGCATCTCAAAAGCAAGCAGGCATTCAGACATAACCACATCCCTTAAAGCCAACGTAATTAAAGACATTAGAAGGAATTCAGCAAAGCAGCTGTACTTGTATCAAACTGATCACTCAACTCAATCATGTACTACATTCTCTTACCTGATCAATTCACCCCCGACCCCTTATCAAAAGGTTATCAACACTGTTAACATGAAAGATCTGAGCAGTAAAGTTTTGATTACTGAACTATGATACCCAAAACTCTCTACTTGGCGGTATCTGATGTTCCTAAAATGTTCCATTGGAAAAAAGATGGTGGATGTATTTTCAGGTACATGGATTTGGTTTCTGAATAATGCTTGTCTAACCACCAGTTGGTAGGATGTAAAAGGATCACAGCCTGAACCACAAGCAACATAAAACATTCTTCTACCCAAGCCTATTACAAGCTAAATGCTTTACAGATATACACAGTCATTGTAGAAAAAGTGAAGGGGTGTTATATTTTATATAAAATTAACGGTTCAAGAAAATGCTAATCTATTAAAACATGCTACCAGTTAACCCACACTCAGAGAAGATAGTGCTTGATGAAGTCTAATCACAATTTCTTCTGACCTAAGCTTATGGTCTCACAGAAGCAAGACTATGCACCAAAAGCAGCATATAGATGAAGTGCATAAATTGGTATATTTTTAATTTTTCACATATAAACATATTTACATTATCAAAACATTGAAGAATGAACAATCTACAGATACAACCCATAGAAATTAATTTAGCTGACAACTGTACGAATTATAAGCTGAAGAGTATTATTTAATACGGAAACCAGTGAAGTAGGAAAGGAGGATCTAAAACTGATAAAAAGAATCACTTTTTTAAACTAAAAAGCACAGTCTTTGCTCATCAGTCAAACTGAGTTAAGAAGCATGAACAGACAAAAATGAAATTCTTCCCAGTTAAGGGAAATAAGTCTCTAGAAACAAGCTTCTTCAATTAGATTATGGTATTCCTTTATACTACAGTGTTCTCTCACATCACCCTCTGAAGCAATACTGGCCTCCAGCTCTCACCACTACAGGGACAGACAGGTGGAACTGGCTACTTTCTTACCCAGATTACAATAAGGAAAACATGCATTAATGTCACATCTTCTTCGAAAGCGAAAAGATAGGTTCCTTGGACTCTGACCCTACAACTCAGGTATGCTGCAAACTAGTCCCAGGGAGCAAAGGGCAAAAATGTAAACCATTCAGTAAAGAATACTGTAGAAATATGTGAAGAATAAGCAGGCAAAAGTGGCATAAAATCATCTTTCTAAGGATCTTCCTATAGATGTTTTCTGACTCCCCCTTTAGAGGAAGCTGCCTGATTATCTTTCAGTGTTCACTAAGCACTTCATGTTGAAATCACCAAGAAAAGCCGATTACATTAGATCTTTAAGGATACTGATGTAAACATAAATCCAATAAAAGCTCACACAGTAATGTAGTCATCTGCTCCACCTCTCAAAATATGGGTCCTAAGCCCTTCCACAATTTCAGAATACTGTCAGGATTGACTACATCCACAGGTATATGAAAACACATTGTCTTTTCATGTGTAATTAGCATTTTGGACACTCTTT